TGATGGCCTCTGTGCTTGGGGGTCTTCAGGAGTGACGGCACAATTTACACTCGCTTAATTTATCCATGTCTCTCTCAATGTTCTGTCATCCTTAACTTGAGGCATGGTATATATATTCCGTGTTTCTGTTACTGTTAGAACATACTTCCTTGGGTCTTTGGAACAGGCTGGTGGCATTACTTTTTCTTCATCCACAGTCATATAAAGGCATAAATGCTACATCCAGTAGCAGCTGCTTTTGACCCGTCTTTTTCTCCATTCAGCCCTAGCAGCCTTTGGAGTCAAGAGTTGGTGGGGAGAAGGTAACAATTAGCTTTCCAGTAGCTAACAATGACGTTTCAAGACCTCCGCTACTTGATATTTCTTGTTTCCTTCTCCTTTTGAGGGGAGCTGTGTTAAGATGAAAATTTACCTCTGAGATTAGCCGTGCCTTTGTGATCTTTTGATCCTGTAAGCAACTGACTGCCCTTACTCCCCTAACTGAAGTGTGGGCTGCTTTATAGCTACTGGGACCTTGGTATAATTTTCTTCAGATCCTTACAGGCTGTGCCTTGGAGGTGATGTTGGCAGCTCGAGGCTTGAGATCATACTGTATCCCTAAAATACAATGTTCAAACCTGACAGGCCATTCTTCCAGAATGCCAGAATGGGAGGAGATTTTTCTCACTTTACCTGAAATCTACTGTCCTGTTGGTCTAACAAAGTATATCCTTAAAAATAAGTGTTATGAATTCAGTGCTTTATTAGAAGTATTTTTTGAGTGAGGAAGGCAAAAAATGGAGGAGTAAAGGGGGAAAGAGGCCGCTGAGGAGGGAGAAAGTCTTCCTAATGCTGCAGTGCCACATCTCTGCATATCTGCAGGATTTGTGTCTAGAACCTTCCCTGGCCCTGTGATTTTCATACAGAATTTAAGGAATAGCACAAAACTGCAAACTGACAACGTGAACATCTGGTCCCAAGTCTTGAGTAATAACGGAAAGCTTGCAGTTTTATTCCTGTGCTCTGGTAACTTATCTGTTATTAAAACTGGCACCAAATGCTTCTGTGGAATGTGTTTGCATCTCTGGCAGTTGATTCCCAAAATACGGGAATCTTATTTTACGCTCTATTTCCATATTTTACACATAAGGAAATAAAGCATGAGTTTACCCTTTTGCTGATACGGCGATGCAAATTTAATTAATGTGTGTTTGTGAAACCCATTGTGGCCCTTCCACAGAAGTCTTTTGAAGTATAGCTATTTACTGTTGTCCATCTTTTCAGAAGAATCTTGTGTTCTCCTCAGAAAGTGAAAATTTACATTTTTTAAAGACCTCTTAAGCTGAGCTATTCAGACTGGAGTTAGCCTCTGAGTCTGTAACATGCGTAGTACCTGCACATACAGTTCATGTCTGGGAGGTGTGATCCCAGCTGCCTGAAGTGGTGCACAGTCCCTCGTGTTTTAAAACCGCAGAGTGGTTTCATTTTTTTGTACCTAATATACATGCGAGCAGTAGCTGGGATGTGCAGTAAAATGGTTATTCAGCTTTCACTGTTACAAAGTGACTGTATTGTATAGAAACTCCAAACTGATTGTCTCTTGATAACGATGTATATAGGAAAAGATGACAGCATTAACAGATGACAGAATAGTCCTACAGATACTATAGTGTGGTTTTGAAAAAAGAATGCTTAAAAACAACAGTTGTTGTGAAATTTACAATTGTTATTCTCCCTGAAAATTCGTATTTGTTTAATAACACTGTTTTTGCTGTGGAGCTTTGATTGCTACAAAGCATAGGCAACATATGCAGATGGAGCTTCTATTTCTTATCCATCACACAACCTCATTCTTGCAAGGTAGCTCTGTTGTAAAAATATAGCCATTACTACAAGTGAACATTCAGTTACTAAAATAAAGTATTTTTTCTGTTTCCTATTTTCTAAAATCAGTCCTTCCCATTTTGTCTGAGTTTCTAGAAGCTTTTGTGAAATGTACATCAGAAGAAAATTGGCACTTTTAAAGTCTCGTTTTGAGTTGGCAGCAGCACAAAAAACCCCTAATATTAACCCACTGCATAAAGATCTGCTTATAAGATTCATTCCTTTGTTTGCTTCCAGAAGCATTGACAGTGTTATAGTATGGATAAAAAGAATTACTAGCTGTCCCTTGATATTCATGTTAGCGGTTTGGGGCTCTTATTACTTGGCATCTCTGTTTCACATCTGCTTTGGGAGAGAGAGAGGAGGGTTCCTAATATCCCGTGCTATTTAACTTGGTAGATACATGTTTTTTTGTTTTGTTTTATTTTGTGTTTTTTTTTTTAAAAAAAAAAACAACAAAACAAGCAAACAAAAAAAGCAAATATGTATCACACTGTGATAAGAATTATGGAGGCTTAAGAAACATCAGATGTTGCTCAAAGTTTCTGGTTTGTTCATGTTTTGGGAATCACATGCCTTTGAGAAAGGCATCCTTTGCTGTATCCCTGGTGCTTTGAAAAAGCATTTTGAAGTAGTAAGAAAGCTTACAAAAGTTTTTTCATTTTAACTCTTGTAAAGCTAAGACAGGAAACACTAATGTTTGTGTTATACTGATAGAAAAGAAGACATTTTTGTCAACTCTTTGGTGACATGTATTATTTTGATTAAGTATATTTAAACTCTGCCAGTAATACAAGGGATGCAGGAGGTATTTAGGAGCCATCTCCTGAAGATATGCAGGAAGTGCGTTCTTGAAATGCCTCAGAAAGAAGAGATTTTTTGCTTCAAGTTTAAAATAAACATGGCTCCTGCCCAATTAAGGCTTTAAAAGCTGAGGTTTAAACACTTTCACAGCACAGTGCAAAACCCTTGTCCCGTTCCTGAAGACCACCCTACCACGACTGGTAGCTGAGCGAACAAACTTCTGGGATGAGAGGAAGCCCTGGGGCTGCATATGGTCCTCTTACCTGCGCGGTACCTATGTCCCATGGCAGTGTGGGCATTGAGAGTTCATTCAGTTCTTTTGTAGACTGATATTGAGAGAAGTTATTGCCATATATGTTAAAATACAATAATAAATGAGTGAACGCAGATGGAAAACCATAGGATCCCTTGATCCGGGCACAAGCCCACTTGCTTGCTCTTTGCTCTGACTGCCCTCTGGTTGCTGTTGGCCTCCCCACGCCGATCCTGCCTGGCTGCCGTGCGAAGGCTGCCGGGACGTGCTGGGGACCTGCCGTGATGTGGGGAGACCTCGTCCTGAGGGCCCAGCAAGTGGAAAGGTCACCCAGCCCTGACCTTCCCGAGTGCACAGGGCTACTCTGAGACTGAGCTGGCCAAACTGGCTCATGGGCCTTGCTGGTGAAAACCAGCCTGGCACAGAGAGGCCTGGCTGTCTGTGCTGTTGTCCAAGAGGATTTTTGTGTGGACACTTGTCCCTCGTTTAAACTCATGCAGCATCTAGTTCTGCAATGCAGGTTTTTCAAAGGCAGCAGTGCAAGCAGGGCAGCAGATGGGTGGTTGACAGGGCTGCTTTTCTGGTAGCTGCTAACATGCTGTAGAGGTGACGAACTTAATTTCTGAAAGAAAATACCAGCTTTTGTGGTTGCTTTTACTGTTTTCTGCCAGCCGGTGTGTGCAGCACTGACCTTGGCTGTCAAAGTCGCTGCCAGCAAGCTTCTCCATCGAAAAGGTAGAGACGTGGTGGCAGCCACCAGGAAAGGAGAGGGAGAAGGATGGGAGCTTACCCATCAAAGCTAGAGAGTAAACAACCTGCATAGTTATTACCTCAGAACAGAAGGGTTGTTGCAGCGTGACAGGTTTAGACAATATGCCCTAAGTTTTTTTTCAAACCCTGACAGGACAGACACGCAGAAGCCTGGGAGATCTGAGCCCCGACAGAGTTGTCCTGTCACCCGAAACACGCTGGTGCACCTGGATGCTCTGGCTGTTTGCCTTGGTGTCTCACCGTGGCAGGGCTTGGCTTTGCTTTGCAAAAGACACGTTGAAGTGAGCTTGCTCCCTATCAGCAGGCCACACATGGAAAGAGCAAACTCTTTTCAGAGGGGAAAGAAAAATAAGGTTGTGAAGTGTAAGATCTGTTAGAAAGCAGATGCAAACTTTCCTTGCTTAATTTGGCCATGGCACCAAAGCAAATACTGTATCAGAGCACTGTTTGCTTTCAGGTCTTTGGGCAGGTTTATGTGTTTGTCTAATTAAAAACCCAAATGAAACATGCATAGTATAGGCATATTAAATAATCTGCTTTCTCCTTTATGAGTATTATATTTCTGAATTTGTTTTGGACTTTGAGAGTTAGTGCTCCTCTACTTAATGGTGACAGGCCTTTGGTTAAACATGTTTCAGAGAGAAGATGTGGAAACATTCAGCCGGTGTCAACAGGGGTAGCGTGAACCCAGAGAGGGACTGGACCTGTCATTTGTGCGGTTTCTTCTGCTGCTTTTGGGCATCGTGAGATTCAGCAAATCCCCTGCCCTTCAGGGAGCAGCAATAAGAGGGTTCATCCAAATAACAGCCAGCATGAAGAGTCTGTAAAGTATCAGAACTGGCAAGTGACAGCTAACATAGCTGTCAAGATTTTGATCTTGTTCCTGATCACCAAATACAGCTTTTCACCCCTCTCTCCACGAAGTTTTAAATGTAGAAAAATGGCAACAGTTTTTGTTATAGAAATGAGATTGAATTAGTCCATTCAAAAACCTGTGCTCATTTTTTTCTGGGTGTGTTGCTGAGAAGCCTGTGATTTTCCTCGACAGAGGGCTGCTGACCCCAAAGCTTTGCCACTGCCTTTGAGCACCGCAGTTATTATTAACCTGTTTTGTTGTTTTTCTCTATAAGACGTATTTGTTCAGGGGGCTGGGGATTGTTTAGGAAGTTATTGCCAGTCCTCGGATGTTTGTGCTTTCTGGGGGCGGAGGGAGGGACAACTGCAGCTATCACAAGCCTGTTACACACTCTAAGGAAGGACATGAAGCAGCAAGTTTTTAAAGTAGTATTAATCTCTTCTGTGGTTTCAGAACGCCTCTGGGAGCCTCCCTGGATGAGCAAAGCAATCCTCTGTTGAAGGGTAAGGAAAGGCTTTACCTTTTACCTGAAATCTCTTTTGCTGGGAACTGTGTTTTCGTGGATGTTCACCTGAGACCTCGGCTCTTTAGCAGCGGCACAAACCACAGCCTAGTCGGCATTGCTGAATTATTCTCACTGTGAAGCAGTTGTGCCCAAGAAACTGGAGAAGGGGGAAAAGATCCTGAATAAGTCTTTCTGGAGAGTTTAGTAAGGCCTAAAAAAACCCCCAAAATGTGCAGAATGGGGAGACTGCAATTTCCTCTCCGAGCTGGCGAGCATTAGGCAGTCTCTGCCTCAAACAACTCTGGTTGCCACACCTGAAAATTTTACTATCTGAGCAGGTCTGAATACTGAAGTTCAAAGTACAGCGAGAATGTGCAGGTAGTGACAGGGTGCAGAGGAATTACTTGCTGTGCCTGGAGTCTTCGCTTCAACTCTTAATCCGGTACAGGGAGAGAGAGGGGAATGCCTAAGCTGGACTCAGACTCTGGATCTCCCTGGTAAGATGTCTGGAGGATAGATAACGTGGGAGCAGAAGGCACAGATGTGTTGGGTGGTACCTCCAGGTTCCCACTTGCAGTTAGCTTGCTTGCAGGTTGACTCAGGGATGTTTCTGAGCACAAAACTAAAGCAGTGTTGTAGTCGTTTTCTTTCAAAATTTTTTTTTCTGTGTTTTCAAATGTATCTTCTCACTTCTTGGTGCATTTTTCCTATATGAGTAACGCAGGGATTGTAAATATAGTCTGCTTATATCCTGTTGTATCAACTGAAATGTCTTGCTATTATCTTTAGTTAAGCTGTTGGAAAGAAAACACTGCAGCATTCTAGTTGTTGAACTGCTAACTGTATGTTTTCAGGCATGCTGGTGAAAAATGGAGGAAGTTTTGAAGATGACTTATCCCTGGGAGCCGAAGGTGGGTGTGGCAGGAAAAAAAAAATTACGTTCAGTCATCTGATTTTTATTTTGAAAGAGAGCATTTCCCTTCTGGTCGAAGGCAGTTAATAAAGCTGACTAGAAAATCATTATGAAGCACATAGAAAAATGCAGGAAGATTTGCTTTTTGAATTTACCAGACTATTGCTGGTGTTAAACATTCTGGTCTAACCTGAAGGTCAGAGGCAGCCCTGAATTTGCTTCTGTCTTCTCATTTTAATGCCCACAATGGCAACACAGCCTGGAGCACTCACTGAGGCTGTTAGAAAGTGGTTTCTCCTACTTGCTTTTCTTGTCCGTGGGTTACTCTTGGCAGCCGTGCATGCCCCACTTCCACTGAATCCCTTGGGAGTGGCATGTGCGGGCTTTTGAAAGGAGGAGTGAAATCCTGTCCGCCAAGAGGCAAACCCATTAAGGGCTAAGTGTTTTTAAAAATAAAAAGCACCAAAGCTGAATAAGTATTTTGGATCAGCCATGACATACACTTTGCTGTCGCTAGCTGCTTGCCTTTTCTTTCTCTTCCCTTTTTTAAAGGGAAGGAGATGTGGCTGTTCATGGTGGACTTCTTTGTAGGAAAAGACTTTTAGCCTCTCTGTGGACACCTCTAACCCATGATCAACAAAAGCTGTGGATCCTGTTCTAACAGCAGCGTCTTGAAATAAAATAGCAAAAAACTGTCTCACAAACCAGGTCCTAGGGTTATCTGCAGGATAAGGGATATAAGACAATATCTGTTTTCAGTGTAAACAAAACAAAACAAAACAAAACCAAACCAAAAAAGACAAAACCACTCCCCTGCCTTTAGCTTTTAATGTTTTTTGAGCTACAGCTTTTGCAAAGTGTCAGAACTTGTATAGTAGAAAGCCCTTTTTCCACAGCACTCTTACCAGTGGTGTCAAAGTAGTGGGACAGGGCCTGGAGGAAGGAAGTATCTTTAATTTTTAAAAATTCAAGACTTCTAAGGAAAACAGTTGATCTGATAATGACCTTGATCTGATGATGATGGAGAAGCAGTAAATTTCTTACTGCAATAGATTAAATAGGATTAAATTTTCTTTCTGACAGTCTTTTCCGCTTGTTACATTGCCTGCAGTACAAAGATTTCATAGGAAAAATTTCTTTGTAGTGACAATCCAAGCTCTGAGCATATGACCAAGAATACAAGAGTCAGTACATTTTAGAACATCGTGTCGTTTTTTTCTTTTCAAGTTTTTCCCCTTGTCATTCCCAAGGATTTCTGTTTTTTATGAGCCTTTAGCGCAATTTAGGCAAAAGGTGGTTTCCCTCCTTTTCAGATGACAAAGGTCCCAGTACTAGAATCACTGGTTGATTTGCCTGGGTAAGGAGGCGGGTGTTTCTGCTGGGCTTTGGTTCCCATCCGAGAACAAGGGGACAACAGAGCTGCTTGGAGACAACAACCCTGCCAGACAGACAGCCCCTTTGAGGCTGGTATGAATGGCCTGCCCTTGCGCGTCTGTGACTGCCTGCACCCAGATACAAGCCAGAGCCCCGTGTGAGTGGTACGGAGGGCATCGGGCAGGGTCCTGTAACCCCCTGCTAGGCTGTTAAAAGCCATGGTTTATCTGTTCAAACGAGTCGCCAGCTAATCTATATAGATAGGCTTACCTTCATATTGTAGACAAGAATATTAAAAAAAAGGTGCGGCTTCTGCGTTTTGTATACATTTAAGTTTTTTCGTGATGCCGCTGAAAAGAAGAGGGAGGTTGTGAGGTTTCTGTGTTTTGCTCTCAGTTGCTGACAGTGCTCCGCTGGCACAGTGAGTCGAGATGAAGGGTTTTTCTGGCAGCGCATTTGACATCACTTTGCTCTTTTCGTAGCTGATGCTGAGGGCTGCTGTAACATATGCACGCTCCTTGCCTGTTTCCTGGGGCGAGTTTGTTAATCTGGAGTCACCTCTTTGGGGAACCCATACTTTAAGTCTGGGACTCAACTCTCTGGCTTGACAGGGTGTTGATTTTCTGAAAGAATAATGCTTCCTGAGATGTTCCCGTGTGGAGCTGGGCCGATCCAGCTGCAGAAAGTGCCGACTTCCCTGATGGAGGCTGGTGACCAGGTACTTGGTACCGGCAGCCAGCCTCCCTCCAGAGCCCCCTCGACTCCGAGTGTGGCCACTGGTCCCATCAGCACCGCAGGCTTCACCTAGCCATTGCCCATGGGTTGCAGAGCTCAGGCAGCCGCGGCCCTGCCCCACTTCGAGAGCAGTCTGTGCTGATGAAAAGACTAATGAATATAGTCTCAGTACCTGGCCGTGGGGCCAGCTGCCCTTCTTATGTCCTTTACTTTCTCTACCAGAGCTATCTTCGCGTGCCCGCTTCTCCTCCTCCCTTTCACGCCCGGGAACAGCCCTGCAGCTGGTAATTGCATCTCCAATTGCAAAGCAATAAACAGTTTATATAACGATTACTAGCTTAACGCACGTTAAATTTCAAGTTAATGTGATTAATGACAGTATGTAAACGTGTGTCCATGTGAGATTTTATTTTAAACAGAGCCTGAATAAACCAGATCATCTTTATATTGGCTGTATACTAGACAATCTAACCTTGACAATCACATTTATATGGGAAGAGAAAAACCTGGCTTATGCGGCAGTATGGGTCAATGTGCTCGCTGCCTGCTTTTTCATAACGGTTGTGGGAAGTGTAATTCTGAAGAGGTCTGTGTGTAACTTCTTCTTGTTTCTCTACAGCTAATCATCTACGGAGTGATACCCAAATGGAAACATGGTAAACATCTTTTTTTATTTATTTACTTCGGAGAAATATTTACACTGGAGGGCAGTATAGGGAGGGAGAGGGGGCAGTGGAAGTTGTGGAGGCTACCTCAGAGCTAAAGCTCTTCTGCTCATGTCTGTTTACGTGAGAGGGAAGGAGAAGATCCAGATAACACAGAAACAGTCATTAGGAGATGCAGAAAAAAAAATGTAAATTTTTATTCTTCCAGCAGACATGATGTAGATTTTGGGGTAGCAGGAGGAAAGCAGTGAAATGACAAATCTAGGTAATGTAGTATGATTTACCTTCTTTGCCTGACTGATCCCTCACCATTTCAGAAATTTCAAGGGAAAATTAGTTTTACCTTTCAGAGCAGATGTCCTTTGGGAGTGGGGAAGAAAAGACTTTGAGAGAGGAAAGGCTGCTGCTTTACAGGGAGAGCTTCTAAATAAAATGTGCTGAAACTAAAACCCCATTGAGACTTCAGCAAATACCAGCACAACCCATGTGGGCAGCATCCTTGCCACTCCTCCTGAGCCGGGCTCTCTAAATCTGCTTTTAGGTGAATCCTCTGTCTTTTTTGGTTTCTCGGTGGTTGTTCTTGTGTGTGTGTGTATTAGATTTGCATGGTAAAATTCACCCTGAGAAAGTTTGTCCCCCAGAGAGGTTGGCAGTAACAGTATGTTTGAGGCCAAGGTACCATCTAATGCTGAGGCAGCTTCTCCAGATGCAGGGAGGAAATGGTTTGGGATTGGGAGAGAAACTGTCTGGCAGTCTGGGTTGGAGCTCGTCTTGCTCCATTTCTTCCAGCGTGGAGCCTCTTCAGCTTCTCCAGCCACCTCCGAGGCAGCTCGCAGCCTTGTGCTGCTGATGGGCGACAGCTGAGGGTGAGGGGTAGCTGGGTACCCGAGGCGTGGAGAGGTGGTCCTGCCATGGAGAGGTGGTCCTGCTGGAGGAGGCAGTGGCACAGGGAAGGCAGGGAACGGCAGGGCAGGGTGGCTCACCCAAGGCTGGGCTTCCTTGCTGGAGGGAGGGTGGGATTGTGGAGGGTGCAGCAGCAAGGGGAGATCAGGGATTTGTTTTCTCAGCTTGCATTTGCCTTCAAATTCTTACCGTCTACGTACGTTTTTACTGAGGCATCCCAAGGTTCACTTTTGTTATTGTATTTCAATAAATGACATGGCTAATATAAACCAGATAACACTGAAGGGGAAAAGAGAAATTCAGCAGCGCTGGAGGTTTAGCTCTCCTCTGAGACGGAGAATCGAGTCCCTAAACAAAAGAGGTTTATCGCAGGGATCTTCTCCGTTTGTGTTGACAGCAATGGTGTGCTGGCGAAGGAGAGGAGGCTGCAGTTCCACCAGAAGGGGAGAAGTATGAACTCCACCGGGTCTGGAAAAAGCAGTGCGACTGTTTCAAGGTAAAAGAGTACTATACTTTGAAGGTCGTGGCACAGTTCAGTGGAATTTGACTGCGTTTTGCTGGCAAAACTTACTTCTTCTGTTCCTCAGTTAAATGGACTTGGCTTGATTTATGTGCATTGTTGCATTTAGTAGCTGAGAAGGGAATTTTTATTTGGTTGCTTGAAAAACTGCTATTTGTTTTCAGTTGTGGTTTGCAGTAAATACTAACAAATGGGCCTAAACATTAGAAACATCTGAAATTTTAATGACATTTTAAAATCAGAGTTCTGCAGAATAAGGGCTGACTCTATAAGTTACGGGACTGGATCTGAGATGTGTCTGGGCCGATGACTCTGATGATGGGAACCAAAACTTTGGATACAGAGATCTCCACAATTATTTCCTAAAGTAGGCTGAGCTGTGGGAGTCAGAAGTTCAAGAGACCAAGCTGGCTGCTGGGCTGAATTAGCAGTCGGACAGAAGGGACTGGGTCTTAAAAGGAGACAAGTAGATAGTAAACATCTTTTCATTTGTCTAGTGTTTCTGAATTACTGGAGCTTTATGAGGAAGATCCTGAAGAAGTGCTCTATAACCTTGGCTTTGGAAGAGATGAACCAGATATTGCCTCAAAAATTCCATCGAGATTTTTTAATTCATCGTCATTTGCTAGAGGGATAGATATCAAAGTGTTTTTGAATGCCCAAATACAGCGCATGGAAGTGGAAAATCCGAATTTTGCTTTAACAAGTAAGTATGATTTTGAAGCAAAGTTTATTTTAAGTTTTTGAACTATGTAAACAACCCCAAAAGAAGGTGTATATCTAATATTCTGGCAAACTCCCTTTACAGCCTGAAGGCCAAATTCCATTCAGAATCCATAATAAAACTCTTGCTTGGTCTTAAATATGTCAAGAGGTGACCATCAGTGTTGTACACCTTGGGGTGAGGGGAAGGGGTTTATAGTGGGGGATGGAAATGAAAGGCATCCTTTAAGATATGCTGCCTTCTGGTTTGTATCATTCCTGTCTCTTGCTCCTAAGCTTGTCTTCTGTTGTAGCTTTAGAGCACTGAAACAAATAGCTATATCTGTCTGTTTCTTGTGTTATTCAGTATCGGGGTGGGATTTTTGAAAGCTGTCAGGAGCGACCTACTTCTGTCGTTGTTGAAATCTGGGCCAGTGTTTCTATGGACTTGGACAGGAGCTTTGTTAGGTCAGTAATGAGTGTTGCTGAAATGAGGGCATAGCTGAAATGTCCTCTTGTAGTTGTAGATGGAGAGAGCAATGTGAGTAACCCTTTTCTTCCTAGCACTTTGTAAATTAACTTGCACTTGCATATCTGTGTCCCTTTTTTACTTTGTGAAAGCTTTCCATGCTGTTCTTGTGCATTTAGTAAAGACTCTTGCAAAGATTTTTCCCTTTTTTCATATGGTGTGGTATTACTTTCGTGTTACAGGACTAGGCAGTGTTCAGTCAGCCTTTGCAGCCCTTGGTATAAATAGGAGATTTGGAGGAGGTAGGAGTGGGCAGAGGTTATGATGAGAATTCCCTGTTCAGATATGAAGAAAGAGCTGTCTCTGAGGATTCAAACCATCGTGTAAAGATGGATCAACAGGTCTGGGATGTGATGACAACAAACGTCCTTGTAAACTCTGGCTTACGTTTTGTTCTTGTGCAGGTCGTTTTCGTCAGATTGAAGTGCTTACTACTGTGGCCAATGCTTTTTCTTCTTTGTATTCTCAAGTCTCTGGGACTCCTTTGCAGAAAATTGGTAGTATGAATTCAGTGTCTTCCAGCAAAGAGGCATCCAGCCCTCCTCCGTTAAATCGCAGCAATACAGCCAGTCGGTTAATGAAGACCTTGTCAAAGCTCAATCTGTGCGGCACACAGCAAGCGGATGGTAGCGGCTGCTCAACTCCTTCACCTGTTGAGAAAGGGAAAAGTCCAGCTGAACCAGAGAGCGAAGAAAATGACGTTAAAAATGAATCTAAATTACCAAAATGCTCTAAAAAGAAGGACTCTCCCTCTTTTTTGGCTACCGTAAAGGAGGAGATAGCCAGTAGTCAGGCAAATGCTGTGGACATACATAAACCTGCAAACCTTCCTGCTGGGACTGGTGATAAGCGAGAGGGTACTGTGCCTACAGCAGATGTGCAAAGCAGCGGGTTGGCAAGTGCCCAGGATAGACCGTGTGAAGAATCTGGTCTTTTGGACTCGCCGGGCCTCAGCAGCAGTTCCAGTACATCCAACAGCAGCACCTCGACGCAGAGGCTGCCTGTGGCATCGCCAGGTAGAGACCCCTGCGCTCCCCTCGCAAACCCGTCCATAATGAATCTAATGCTGCAGCAGAAGGACTCCTTTGAGATGGAAGAGGTAGGTGGAGATGTATGACTTTGTTTTTGCATACAGTTTACATAACTTGCTGGCTGCCAGCAAAGGAATGTTCCCTCCTGTGTAGTTGACAGTGTTTTCTCCAGGAGTACTTTAAATTCTCCAAGTGATAGGACAGTTGTCGCTCTTGGTAGGCTGCTCAAGTTGATCCTCTTAAGGAAATAACTTCGTTGTGCTGCTGTTGTTGTTATTCCTGAGAGT